CCCCCCCGCCATCCTGGGGCTGATTTCCTGGTCACTGTAGTGTGCCAGAGCTGAGGTGGCCCTGCTTGTGGTCCCTGTCCTGCCTGGAAACCACCAGGCAGATTCTGCCTTCCCTCCCCCATTCCCATTTCCCTACCAAGCCTCCACCCAGGCCTTCCCTCTCTGGGCTGCCAGATGTCCTCGCACATCTGGGCATCCTCGCGTCATCTTGGTTCTAAGCCAAGCTGCTGCTCACCGAGCTTGGCCTGCCCAGTCCTGTGCTTTCTGGAGCTCACCCGACCCCTCCCCCCTCTCCAGGCAGGCCACCGCTCTTGTGTCTGGAGTGCCTACTGGTTGCAGACACCACGCCTCCTTCCAGCCGGCTTCCACCAACCCTCCTGAGTAGCCAACCCTGCTTTTCGGAGACAGGAGCTCCTAGGAAGTGAAGTTCCTGATAGAAATGTATACACAGCCGAGAAGGACGCAGCCAGGATTTGTACATGAGCTGTTCTCTTTTGGGCACCTACTGTGCGCAGGAGCTCACAGGGATCAGAGGAGGAGGGCAGAGCTCGCTGTGGAGGCAATTAGAAGCGCGCAGTGAGGACAGGAGCTGTGGGGCTGGGAGCAGGCCCAGGCTGCCCAGAGCCCCGTGGGTGAGTGGGGCAGGGACGGTTATAGACAGCGAGGTGGAACTGCTTTGGGCTGGGGGACACTAGGGAGAGGCTTCTGGGAGAACCAAGCCCACGGCTGGAACTTGGAGGTGTGACGTAAGAGCTAATGTGAGCCAGCAGTTTGTGGGAAGCCCTGTGTTCACTAATTTGCCTGTATTTGGCCTTTAGCACACCGGACTACTCACCACCCATTTAGCAGATGAAACAACCGAGGCACTGAAGGTTCATTAGATTGCACAACTCACCAAGCGAGTAAGTGGCCGAGGCGGTTATCTGACCCAGGCAGTATGGCTGCACGGTCTGAGCGACGTCAGTGGGCCGGACAATGCAGAGGGCCTCTCTCTCCTTCGGGAGGAGAGGCACCGGGGAGAGTCTCCCTGCCTCCTTCCCGATTGTCTCAAACCCTGACTACGCTGTGTGCAGGTCTTCAGTTTAACCTCTAGGGACTGTTAGCCTTTGACACTGGAGGCCCAAGAGGCATGGCCCTTGGGACATGTGCATACGTTTGTGTCTGTATACTGTGATCTTCCAGGAGGGCTTCTCGGCCGCCTGCAAGGTGGCAGCGTCCAGCAGCTGCAGGGCCTTTCGGTTCAGGAGGTGGCCAGGCTGGCTGGGCCTGGCTCCTCGGTCTCGCTGTAGTTGGGAGATACTTGAGTATGCTAGGCTGGTTGGTTGGAGGCACAGGGGCCACCCTGGAGCAGCAATGTGGGTGGGGGTCAACCCTGGGAGTGTGCGGGCAGGGCTGTGGTCCAGTCCTCAGCCTGGAAGTTAGGCCTTTCCCGGCCCTGTCTTCATTGCTGGCGAGAGAGGTTGGAGTAGATTTAGCACTGGCCCTCTGCAGCCTCTGAGCAAGCCAGTGGAGGTGGTGGTTTCAGGAGGCTGCTGGCTGGTTGCGCAGACGGGTCCCACAGTGTGACACTGTGCTGTGGCCACCCTGTCCCATGCTCAAGGCCTCCACCCTCGCAGACCCAGAAACTCTGTGTTCTTGGACACACAGCTTCAGCGAAGCAGCTCCCCCATCCACGTCTGAGGAGGTGGGAGTTGAACCCTGCAGCCTAGTGTAGAGGGGAAGCAGGACCTTGAACAGACGCCCTCCCCACCACCCTGCCCTCCATCCCCTGGCCAGCACATGGCTGGGCGTGAGCAGATGATCGCCAGAGGGCTGCTCGGTGAGCAGGGCAGGGGCATCTGGCCCTGGTCTATGTCTGGGGAGCTCTCAGGCCCAGCTGCCACCTTGGCGTTTTCTCTTCCTGCCCTGGGAACATCTGGGTGCCGCATGGCCTGCCCTACAGTTGCCCCTGAAGGCATGATTGTCCTTTGAAATAAGGGGCAGGTGCTGCATGCCTGTCAAGAGCTGAGGCCTGAGCAGGAGAGAGCTGCCCTGGGACGCCAGCTCAGCGCCCTGCAGCTCTGGTGCCAATCCCGCTACCCGTGCCTCGGCTTCCTCATCTGTAAAATGAACCTGATGCAGTTCCTCCCCGTAGGGTTCTGGTGAGGGCTGAGCGAGACACGTGGCCTAACACACAGTCCCCAGAGTGCCTGGCAGTAGACTTTTTCCTTATCTACCAAGTAAGGGTGGCCAGGTGAGGGCGTTGGGGTGACCTCTGTGACTCGGCGGGCCTGGGCAGCAGCGATCTGCACACGGAGGCTCTGTGACCACCCCACACCATCTGAGAGGGGCCGAGTCCCCGCAGGAAGCCGGGGAGGAGGCGGGAGGACCCCGCGGTGTGGGCTCCAGCCCTTCTCTGCCCCTCGCCATCCCTAGCTGTGGCTTCCAGAGAGACGTACATCTGGGTGGGAGCAGAGGGGCCATCTCCGTATGGGCAGGCACGAACCATCACTGGGGGAGGCAACAGGGCTGAGGAAAGACCCAGTAGGTCCCTTGGGGTCTGTCTCAAAGTGGGTGGCATCAGGCCCTGGAATCGGGGCTTGGCTGCAGTCACCAGGGCCAAGCATCCCGCACATCTGGAGAAGCCAACTAAGTGACACATTGACAGATGCCCCTGGGCTGTTTCTCCTGGCATCTGGGGCTCCCAGCTGTGCACTGAGGGACAGCTGGGCATGGGGTGACCTTTGCTCACAGGGCCTGGGGGTGCCAGTCCCCCCGCACTCTACCTGACCCAGCTGGTGTAAGGCCGGGCAGCAAGTCTGAGGCACAGGGGACGTTGCATTTGCCTGCCTCTGGTGGGACAGGAGAATCTGTCCCCTGAGGACGCAGCCACCCATGTGGCTTTCTTTTCCCTAACAATTGGCTCAGCGTTGCCCTGTGGATGCCCCCTTCTCCGCCCCAGGGCTCCCCAGTCCCTGCCAGAGCGTCCCTGGGGGCCTGGCACTGATCACATGGGCTGCGTGTTCCTGGACCTGCTAACAGGATGGCCCAGGGTGGCCTGCCCTTCCTGCCCCAGAAGGTCTGGGGGCAAATCCTGGAATTGGGGGCTGCTTGCCTTCTCTGTCCCTGGGAAGGGGTGGGAGCAGGGAACAGATGTCCCACTCTGCCACTTGCTGCCAGGGCCCCAGGCAGCTTACTTCGGGGCCCACCATCTGTCATCATTTGGTGAACAGATTAAATTGTGCCCGTGCTCAGCCCTGCTCTGATGTCTGGTTTTGTCCCCACTGCCGTGAAGAGGAACCAGAGAGGATGGGGGTTGGGGGGGACACCATGTGGATACAGCAGCTCTGCGTCTGTGTAGTGGGGTGACTCCCCATCTCCATGTGTGGCTCTCAGTGTCACGTCCTGCCCCCAGCTGGCAGAGGGGGCCCCTCGGGTGGGGGACGGGCTCAGGGATCACATGACACTCCCCGGCCAGCCAGCTGCTCTGCCCGCCAGGCCCCTGGCTCTGCAGAGCTGCAGCCACTGTTTAGACCTGCTAGGGGATGGCGGGCCGCCTGGCCACAGCCCTACCCGTGGCCAGCTGGCCGGGGCTCTTCTGTCCAGCAGGCCTTGGTGGGGCCCCACAAGAGCCACATGCTGTGTGTTCAAGTCCAGTGCCCTCTGGCAGGCTAGTCCTCCATGGGGCTTCTGAACTGTTGCTGTCAACTTGGGTACTCAGGACCCTGGCTCCCAGTGGGGCCAGATGTGCCTAAAATCCTCTAGAGAGGGACAGGCCTGTCAGCCAGACGGGCGGCCTGCGCAGGGAGTGGTCTCAGAACCCCAGGGGATGCCGGCTGGACAGCCAGACCCCGGCCTGCCTTCTCCACGGCACTCAGTCAGACAGGGGAGGGAAAGTGAACATGTTTCAGGTTTTCTGCTTCAGGAGGAGTCCCCGCTCTCGGTAGAAGGACTGGACACCCACAAGTGTGGGCTGCTGGTGGGTCTGGGTGTGGGGGTGCTGTTCATGGGGACCTCTGCCTGTGCGCTCCCCACTGACTTGCGGGAAATGGGCCGACTCTGTGGAGGAGGCGAAGGGCCGGGAGCCCAGTGCGCCTTCAGCTGCCTTCCCCATGGTGCCATGCCCACCGTGGGGGGGCGCACTCAGGGCAAAGGAAGTGGACTTTCCGCATGGCTCCCAGGCCTCCCAGAGTCCTTGAACGGTGGGCAGCAGGTGAGAGGCACAGGCCCCTGTCTCAACCCCTGGGGTGCTGACGTCTGGGGGTGCAGCCCAGCAGACACTGGGCACCTGTTCCCTACTCAGCAGCCCGGCTGGGGCCCAGGGGCTTCAGGGAGGCCGTTGGTGGGGCCCAGGGGGAGTCGGTGCTTTCACCTGGGTTTCTCTTTGAGTCCTGGGCCCACCCAGAGTTGGGGTTCCAGCTGCTGGCCTTGACCGGTCCACTGGTGGCCCTGTGCTGGCTGGTGCCTCCCTGCTCCTCCCTAAACTCTTAGAGGCTGGCATCTTTACTCTCAGGCTGCCCTCCCCACCTGGACTGGGCAGGTGGCACGTGGCTGCCCAGCGTGAGGTGGCTAAGTGGCCTTGGCTAGGGCTTAATGATGCAGCCTCCAGGCGGGCCTGCCCTCAAAATGAGGGCCTTGCCTTTATGCTTGGAGTCCAGGGAGCAGGCAGATGACCCCCCTCCTGTCTCAGCCAACTTCCCATGGTTCTGGGATTCTGGGAAACCCCAGTTACCAACCAAGATACCAGCACTGTCACCATTTTCACCCTTTCCCCGGGCACGTGATGATGGACGGGGAACTGGGAAATCCTCTGTTACCCAAGAAAGCACAAGGTCATGAATGAGCAGAAGGGGAAGGAAGTGGCCTCCGACGTGGCCTCGGGGGCACCCCGCGCCTGCCTGAACCCGTGATGCTGGCTCCAGGGCTGGGCGAGAAGGAGGGATGAGGGTGTGGGGGCCTCGAGCTTTGGGGAGATGGTCTCTGGGGTCCCGCACACTGCGTGTCCAGGCCTGGCTGTCCCCTGAGGCGTGACTTCACCCAGGTCACCTTTGCTTGGCCTCTATGGGCTCATCTGAAAAATGACCACATTACAGTACCCAACTTGGGGGTGGTGGGGAGTGGGCCGCCCTGGGCAGGAGCAGGTTGTGGGGGGAGTGGCAGTGGGTAGCCGGGGTGGGGGGTGCTGGTCTGCTCACAGCCAGCTTGTGGCTGATGGGGGAAAGGGGAGTGCTGGGCACAATGCCCACCTGCCCTAATGTTAATCCCAGGCTCTTGAGGTGTTATCCCTGTTTAGTCCCCATCTGGAGGTCTGTGTGGCCGCTGCTCTGTGTGGGGGGGGTATTCCTCTACACCGAGGGCCGGCTAGGCCCCTGACGCCCTGCCTGGTGGCTGGGCACTGTCTTTGCAGAGCTCCACGCAGGAGATTGGCGAGGAGCTGGTCAACGGGGTCATCTACTCCATCTCCCTGCGCAAGGCCCAGGTGCACCACGGCGCAAACAAGGGCCAGCGCTGGCTTGCGGTGAGTGCAGGGCTGGGAGGCCTCCGCCCCATGGCTTTCCTGCCTGAGGGCCCCCAGAGTCCTGTTCCCCAGGGTGTCTGGCCCCCACCCCTCCTCCACTGTCCATCCCTGGACTTGACCAGGCGCAAAGTCGCTGTTCACACATTTATAGGAACATAAAAAGACCCTTTTACACTGTTGTCACTTCCCGTCAGGTAGTGAGTAGCTGGTATTTTGCCTCCGTTTTCTTGTTTTAACTCCTGGCCCCTGTTGCCCATGTAGCCGTCAGCCTGACTGTCCTCCCACACCTCCCGGCCTCCCCCACACTATGCTGAGGGCTGTTTCCCCCCGAAAGGGGCAGGGGCTCAGGCTGCTAGACACAGTTCTCTGCAGCTTACCATCCTGCGGGGCCCAGGCCCAGACCCTTCCAGGGCCCAAGAGCTGGGCCGGCTGCAGCCGCGTCACATTCCAGAAGGGAGGCCGGTCACCACGGAGATGCAGGCTGTCACTTCCCTGGGACCTGGTTGTGATTCCTTTCTGCGGCTGTGTGCCCGGTGCCGCTCTGACCCTCTGGAGTGTCCCCACAGAGTGCCCCCTGCTGTCCCCGGCCAAGCTGTTCTCTCCTCTCTGGAGTGGGTGTGCTCCGGGGGACAGTGGAGGGGGGGTTCCACTATGCCAGTGAACTCAGCCAGCAGCCACCCAAAGGTGTCAGAATGTCACCATCCCCACCTCAAATTCTGCTTTTAAATCTGAGAACTTTTCTGCTGGGGACCTTCATGTCCTAGCTCTTGCCACAAGTCACCAAGCCCTGGGGAGTGGGTCTGAGCTCCAGCCCCCACCCTACTGGTGGCACATGGTGCTGCCGCTGACTGTGCGTCCCCCTGTGTCCCATCCCAGTGTGAAAATGAGTCAGGCCTGAGCCTGTATGAGACTTGCAAGGTCCGGACCGTGAAGGCCGGCACGCTGGAGAAGCTGGTGGAGCACCTGGTGCCTGCCTTCCAGGGCAGCGACCTCTCCTACGTCACCATCTTCCTGTGCACCTACCGAGCCTTCACCACCACCCAGCAGGTCCTGGACCTGCTGTTCAGAAGGTGAGCGCCCAGCCCTCCGTGCACATGGCTCCCACTACCCACTGGCTGTGTGTCTTGGGGACACCACTCGCCTCTCGGAGCCTCAGGTTGCTCCGGTGAACTCTGGGTGCTACAGGAACCCCCCTCGTGGGTTGTGGGAGAAATCATGGAGAGAGCCAAGCCCGTGCCCGGCCTGGGGAGGAGCCGAGGGCCAGGCTGTGCTCCTCAGGGTTCCCCTCGCCTGTGAGGAAGCTGTCTGCCTCTGGCTCTGTGTGCTGTGGCCTTGGGCCAAGCTGTCTTCCATTCTGATGTTGCCGATTCTATCTTGGGGATCCCCCTCCTGGGAGTTCCCAGAGCAGGGACCCCGGGGGCTGGCAGAGGGGTCCCAGGCCCACTCAGATGTCTGTAAGGGCTGGTTGGGCTTCATTCACTGGACAAATGCACACAGAGCCCCTCCTCCGCACGGCACTTTCTGACATTCAGCAGAAATCCGTGATCGGGGCAGACAACACCCACTGCCCTCCCGGCTTCCATTCCAGTCGGGGGTCAGCCAGTGACCCGGGACATCATAGCAGGTACGGTAGAAGTGACGCCTTCACGGCCCCCTCTAGATACGGATGCATCCTCCCGTATTCCAGCGTGGACGGTGGACCCCAGGACCAGCTGAAGGAGTGAGTGGGCTGTGGTCTGATGGGAGGGCCTCCTGTCTCCAAGGTGGGGGGAGTTTTGGGCTGGTGGTGGGGGGCTGAGTAGAACATCAGCTCCCACACATCCTGTGAGTCCTGCTAGAGGGCTGAGGTCTGGGGGTTTCTCCTGTTGGAGGAAGGGAGTCAGCTGAGACTGCAGGCCCGGGACCCAGGCAGCAGAGTCCCTGGCCCCTGAGAGTCCGTCCCACCATGGCCCATGCCAGCACTGCTTGCTCCGCCCCAATCTGAGGGCCCCAGAAGGTGTGGGAGCCACCTGCTCCCACATCAACCTCGTACTTCAGTTCCTGAGTCCAGCTGCCCACGGGGCTGTGCTGGCTGGACCCAAACTGCTGAGAAGAGTGTCAGTGGGAAGACGAGACCCGCCATGTGCCCCCAGAGCATAAGGCAACGAGCTGCAGGTTGAGGCTCTGAGTCCCCAGGCAGGCCAGGGGACAGGACGGATGCTCTCTGCTCATCCCTCCACCCTCACGTACTTATGCAGCACCCACTGAATGCCTGCCAGGGCAGTAGCAGCCAGCCAGCACCTCCCTGCTCCCCCTGGAGCTGATGGTCCAGTGGGAGGAGCCAGGCAGAGGACTGTGCCAGGCTTCCCCGAGGAAGGGAGAGGTGGTGTCACCACTGGTGGAGGACTCCCTCCTGCAGGGACTCCCAGCGTGCCTGCTGACCAGGCCTGACCCTGCTGGACAGCCAAGGGGCCCCAGAAGGGTGGGGAGGGTCCAGGAGCCCAGCCTCACAGGGCCACCATGAGAGGGCCACATGGAAGGAGAGGCCAGGCCTCTGACTCTGCTGCCCACCCCTAACCTCCAGTGCCATCTCCTCCATCCTGGGCACCTGGCTGGACCAGTACTCAGAGGACTTCTGTCAGCCCCCGGACTTCCCCTGCCTCAAGCAGCTGGTGGCCTACGTGCAGCTCAACATGCCTGGCTCTGACCTGGAGCGCCGTGCCCATCTTCTGCTGGCCCAGCTGGAACATGCGGAGCTCACTGGGGCCGAGCCATACGGTGAGAGCAGGGCTGCGTGCACATGAGCGCATGGGGAGGGGCGGTGCTGGACACACAGCAAGGAGCTTCTAGAAGCTGCTGTTGGGCTGGCAGGAAAGACTGGTGTCAGACCACCATCTGGGGATCCAGCCAGAGAATGGTTCCTGGGTGGGTTCCTGGGCTGGCATCTCTGGAAGGCAGTGACATGTGTTCTGTCTTGGAAGTGCTGGCATGTTTCTGAACCTCTCTTGCAGTTCTGTCACCAGATCCTGTTCCAGAGCCAGCTCCTGTGCCAGCTCTGGAGCTAGTGCCAGTGTCAGGGCCAGAGCCACTGTCAGCTCTAGCACCAGGGCCACTACCAGTTCCAAAGCCAGAGCCACTGCCAGCTGCGGAACTGGGTCCAGTACCACCTCTGGAGCCAGAGCCACTGCCAGCTGTGGAACCGGGTCCAGTACCACCTCTGGAGCCAGAGCCACTGCCAGCTGTGGAACCGGGTCCGGTACCACCTCTGGAGCCAGAGCCACTGCCAGCTGCGGAATCAGGCCCACTACCAGCTCCAGAGCCAGAGCCACTGCCAGCTGCGGAACCAGGCCCACTACCAGCTCTGGAGCCAGAGCCACTGCCAGCTGCGGAACCGGGTCCAGTACCAGCTCTGGAGCCAGAGCCACTGCCAACCCCACTGGCGGCTCCTGCACCCACTCCGGAGGCGGGGCCGGTCCTACTGCAAACTTTCGAGTCAGGCTCAGCTCCAACCCCAGACCCTTCCTGGTCTTTGCCTGTGGCTGCAGAGAATGAGCTGCATGAGCAGCCCCACGTCTTGGCGTTCCCTCCCGATCTGGTGGCCGAGCAGTTCACGCTGATGGATGCGGTGAGCAGCTCCTCTCAGCCTGCTGGGCCGGGTGCACCTGCCTCTGGCATCTGCCCAGACCCACCTATCCCTGGTCCACAGCTGACATCCTGGCCCAGATCTCAGCTCCCCCATTACGTGCCGTGTCATCTCCAGACTGAGGAGGTGACGATCCCATGCCCCCCACACAGTGTGATTGGATTAAATGAGGGGGCTTGCTTGGTGGGGGAGGGGAGCTCACTGAGGCACCACCAGCCCCAGGAGTCGTCCCCCCCCATCTGCCCAGGAGGCCTCAGCAGCCGCGACACTTCCTGGCCCTGATGTGTGCTGGGTCTGTGGCAGACACCAGACAAAGCCTCTAGTGGTAGCACCCGGAGTGAAGGGTGGGGGGATGACCTGAGGCGTGCTGGGGGCTAAAGGCACCACCTGGTGTGTGCAGGTGTGAGCTGCCCTGCGTTAGTGAGGCCAGGCTGGTGAAAATGCTGAACTCCTGCCTGCGTTTCATCCTGGGTCACTCGTGTGCTGGATGCCCACAGTGGGGGGAAGCAAAACCCAGAGACCCACCCCTGCCACAAGGCTTGAGCTACATCCTTAGCATTCTGAGCTCCGCTCTGACCGGGGCCCCTGCCTGGCACTGGGGCACTGCGGATGCCGAGCCGGAACGTGGCAGGCCACGTGACGCCTCCCCTCCTCCCCAGGAACTGTTCAAAAGGGTGGTGCCCTACCACTGCCTGGGCTCCATCTGGTCCCAGCGGGACAAGAAGGGCAAGGAGCACCTGGCGCCCACCGTCCGCGCCACTGTCACCCAGTTCAACAATGTGGCCAACTGCGTCATCACCACCTGCCTGAAGGGCCGGCACGCCACGGCCCGTGACAGGGCCAGGGTGGTGGAGCACTGGATCGAGGTGGCCAGGGTAGGTCCCAGAGGAGCGTGCCTTTGTCCACTCCCAGGGTCACGGCTGGTCCAGGCCCCTGCGGAGACCCCACCCCTCCCTTGCCAGGGCCTCACTGGCCTGGGCTCGCACACCCCACTGCCCTGGCGCTCGCTCCCTCCTCAAGCTCCTCCCTCGGCTTTGCTCAGATCTGCCTCCACAGAGTGTTGCTGTCCGGGAACCCTGGGCGTCTGTCTCATTGCGGGAGGGTCCCAGCTCAGGGCTGCAGCAGCAGGAGCTGGCGGGGGCCTCCTGCCCACCTCACGGCCCGTTCTGTCCCCGCCCAGGAATGCCGAGTCCTCAAGAACTTTTCCTCCCTCTACGCCATCCTCTCCGCCCTGCAGAGCAACTCGATCCACCGGTTGAAGAAAATGTGGGAAGATGTTTCCAGGTGGGCAGGCCTCTCTCTGGGAGCTCTGGGGTGGGCCCTGCCCCCGCCATGAGCTGGGACCTCCCAGGAGGCAAGGAACCCCGGGGCAGGGCCCGCCAGTGGGCAGGGCCTCGAAGGGTCCGCGGCTTCGGCCTGCTGTCTGCCGCAGGACTCTGTTTCCTATCTGTTAGTCCTCAGGCCCAGTGGAACCCTGTTTGAAAACCGCCCATTCAGGCAGCTTGCTTGGGTCTTTGGTTTCAAAGTAAAATGGATTTACACGCACACCCCTCCCACCATTCCCAAGTTTCTCCTTCCTTCCCCAGGGACAGCTTTCGAGTCTTTCAGAAGCTGTCTGAGATTTTCTCTGACGAGAACAACTACTCTTTGAGCAGAGAGCTGCTCATTAAGGTAAAGTCAGAGGTGGGCAGGGAGCTGGCTTCTCAACTGAGTTTCCCTGAAAAACGCCAGCCCTGTCTTGTGGGGACTCCGTAGAGAGTGGGCTGTTTGGTCCCTGCGCAGCTGGGGGGCAGGAGGCCCTGGTGCCGGGACGGAGGGGGAGCAGCAGGGTGCTCCCACAGGGGTGGTGAGCCGGCAGCCCTAGCAGGTCATCCTGGCTGGTCCCTCCCGCTGGCACTTAGCTTCCTCGTGGCTGGGGTCAGGGGTCAGGGTCCCGTCCTTCCCAGCCAGCTTGCCCCCACACAGCCGAGCTCGTTCTGCCCCTTCCGTCTGCGCTGCACCTCCCAGGGGATGGCCCCCACTGCTGATGGACAGTGTACTTCGGGGGATGCCCAGAGGGCAGGTCCCCAAGGGGGGCCGTGGTGGGTGCACACGACCATACCTGGGAGGCAGATCTGGGAGCACCTGTGCCCTCAGGCAGGTGCCGCACATGAATCCCCCGGGATCTTGGTGGATTCTCCCCTGGGAGCCCAAGTCAGCTGTGATGAATGCCGACAGCCTGTGGGAACAGTATGGGAGTAAGGAATCCACCTTCCGCAGAAGCTTCCATATAATATAAAAGGGCGAGCAGAGTGTCACCACCCATGGCTCCTGGCCGCCGGAGGTGGCCCCAAGGAGACCCTTCCTCAGTGGATGGGTGCAGAGTTCTATGCAGGGGGCATAGAAAACTCCATTTCCTCTCTGGGAAATGGAGGAGGGGTGACCCAGGGTGCCTACCTGCTGGGGAGGTGATGGGGGAGAAAAGGAAGTATGGGAGTTCCGTGCACAGCCCCACCCAAGTGGGCCCAGTGTTTGTACCAGTGACCCAGGCCCGAGGTCAGGTCCCCTGGAGGGGAAAGTGGCGAGAGGAGGAAGCCTCTCTGATCCCATCTTTGACCCTGGCAGGAGGGGACTTCCAAGTTCGCCACCCTGGAGATGAACCCCAAGAGAGCTGAGAAGCGGCCCAAGGAGACAGTGAGTGCAGTGAGGCCGCAGTGGGGCAGGGAGCCGGCCTTGGGGTGGGACGGGAGCCCTAGCCCACGGCGCCCTGCCAGGTGTCCCGGGGGCCTAGTTTCAGTCACCAGAGCGGAGGCCTGCAAGAGCGGCTCACGGCGGACTTGGGGCGGGGAGGGCCCAGGGACCATGTCACCTTGGAGATTTGCCAGACACCAGGCCTGGAAGGTGACCGGAGGCAGGCCGGGGTCCATGGGCTCTGGGAGGGGGTTTGGGGGAGATGGCTCCAGGTCCCAGACCGCTCCAGGGGCGCCTGGATGAGACCTAGGCTGAGGGGTTTCCATGGGAGGGGCCTTGGGCCTTGCTCATCAGCTCCGCCCCAATGTCCCAGGGGGTCATCCAGGGCACCGTCCCCTACCTGGGCACCTTCCTCACAGACCTGGTGATGCTGGACACCGCCATGAAGGACTATTTGTATGTGAGTGAGCCCAGGAGCCAGGGTGGGGTGGGCCGGGCCTTGAAGCCAGAGTGGAGAGCTCCTCCTCACCCACCCCGGAGCCTCAGGCCTGCCTGGCCTCTCGGGAGCCCCCAGACACACCTGTGTGCCAGGGCACCTGCCCATCTCACCACTGAGTAAGCAGAGCTTGGCACTGGCAGGGTGAGCTCAGAGCTGCAGGAGGGCTTGGCCCAGCCGGACACAGCTCTCCCCGAGGCAGAGGCCATGAACGGACAGGCCATGCCCTCCAGGGTCAGGCACATGGGGACCAGGCTGGGCCCACTTGCCCCCAGACCCAGGACCCACCGAGGTGCAGGCGCATGTGCATGCCCTGCCCCCTGGTGTGTGCTTTCAGTAGTGCAGCCTGGGTGGGGGGAGAGGCCGTGGGCAAGGGGACACTCTCTGATGGGTGTTGGCTGTCTGCCTTCCAGGGGAGGCTGATCAACTTTGAGAAGAGGAGGAAGGTGAGTACGTGCAGTGCCTGCGCAGGGGCAGGGGCCAGAGACCCAGCTGTGTGGGACACTTTGTTCCCCACCTTCCATTATATGTAGTGACATTGGATACGGAAAGAAGGGGGAACCTCTCCCCCTGGGGGCTGGGACAGGAGGGCGGAATCTAGGACTTTCTGGGGAGGGGCTCTTGGAACCCAGCTCTCCCAGGACTGCCCCCCCCATGCAGGCCACACCCAGCCCCCCCACCAAAGCCATCGCAGTCCTGTCCTTCCCTCTGGCCCCAGGAATTCGAAGTGATCGCCCAGATCAAGCTGCTCCAGTCGGCCTGCAACAATTACAGCATTGCCCCCGAGGACCACTTCAGAGCCTGGTTCCGGACCATGGAGCCGCTCAGCGAGACTGAGAGGTGAGGCCGGGCAGGAATTGGGCTCAGTGCGGATGGACATCCACGGGGGCCCGCTCCAGAGAGCCTGTGCACGGGCTCCTGGTAGCATTGGACTCTGTTACCTGCTGTTGGCTGGGCACCTGGCCTCCGGTTGTGGGGAGGGAGGCCTGAACGTGGCTCTCGGTGGCTCAGTGGTGCTCTGCCTGGTAGTTACAACCTGTCCTGTGAGCTGGAACCTCCCTCTGAGTCAGCCAGCAACACCCTCAAGGCCAAGAAGAACACGGCCATCGTCAAGCGCTGGAGCGAGTAAGTGCCCAGGCGGGCGGGGGCTCTCTGGGGGCTGAAGGAAGCTTTGGGCTGAGCGCAGGCTTTGGGGGACAGACAGTGGGCACTGGGACCCCAGCCCCTCTGCTGAGCGGCCCTGTGACTCCGGGGCCGTTTGCCTCCCCTCTCCGGGCCTCCATTTCCTCCGTAGGAGGTGGAGTGATGCTAAGTGATCGATCAGACATCCAGAAGGAATGGGGTGCTGGGGACTGACTGAGTACTTGGTCCAGGGCCTGGAGCACAGAATGCAGGGGGCAGGGGTGGGATGCGTCTCAGGGGAGGCCCCCAAGTAAGCTGGCCCCTCCATGCAGCCGCCAGGCCCCCAGCACGGAGCTCAGGACCGGCGGCAGCTCCCACTCCAAGTCCTGCGACCAGCTCAGGTGCGGCCCCTACCTCAGCAGCGGGGACACTGCTGACGCTCTCAGCATCCACTCGGCCGGCTCCTCCAGCTCTGACGTGGAAGAGAGCAACATGAGCTTTGTCCCAGAGTCCCCTGATGGCCAGGAAAAGAAGGTGACTGCCCCACCCTGTTCCCTGGTGGCCCCCAGCCGCCCTTCCTGGGGCCAGCATCCCCCATTGCACACCTACCAGGAGCCAGGAAGCCCGGCTCCCGAGCAGAGCTCCCAGAGGTGCCCTGCAGGGCCCGTGGCTCCTGCTAATGGTGCCATCCCCACAGTTCTGGGAGTCAGCCTCCCAGTCGTCCCCGGAGACCTCTGGCATCAGCTCGGCCTCCAGCAGCAGCTCCTCCTCCTCAGCCTGCACCCCACCTGTGGCCGCCGCACGCGCCCACCAGCGCTCCCTCTCAGGGGTCTGCAGCCACAGCTCATCGCTGCCCCTCTACAACCAGCAGGTGGGCGACTGCTGCATCATCCGCGTCAGCCTGGATGTGGACAACGGCAACATGTACAAGAGCATCCTGGTGAGCCTGAGGGCAGATCCATGGGGTGCCCTGTCCTGTCCCCCTCCTGGGCCGACCTAGTGAGGCGGGAAGGACCAGTGGGCAGCCAGACAGGGAAGGAACATAGCCTGTGCGCTGGTGAGGGTCAGCGCCAAGGGCAGGACCTTAGGATTGGGTCAAGGGTCAGGGAGGCTTCAGGAAGAAATTGCAGGAGGGGAGGGGGCAAGGAAGGAGAGAGCTGCGAAGCCTGAGGCAGGGGTTTCCTGGAGGCTGGAGGAGTAACGGGGAGGCCCAGGGTGAAGGGTAAGGGGCCAGGGAAGCGCAGAGGGGGACGGAGCGGCTGCAGAGGGGCGCGTGGCCTGGCCAACCCCATGGGGCCAGTCGGAGGCTGCGCTGCAGTCCAGGCAGGAGGAGAGCGGCTGCCTCAGGCAGGCGGCCGAGCAGGTGGCCAGCAGTGTTCAGACATGGGGTGTGACCTGAAGGCGGAGATCAGCCAGTGCAGTTTGCCCACAGGCACTGTATGTTGGGGGGCACTCTCCTCATCCCCAGACCCCAGGCTGCAGAGGAGCCAGTTGCCCTCCCCATATGCTTCCAGTCCACCCACCCCGGGTCAGGTGCCCTGTTACATATCCACCCTGTGCTGACCGCCAGGAGGAGGCCCAGCTGCCATTACACAGTCACCTGTGGGACTCTGTGCCTAAGGCCCGCCTGCATGCTGGCCCTCAGGGTCAAGGGGGCAGGAGTTGGGCTCTGCTGGCCACCACTGCAGCCTCCAGCCAGTTCAGGCTTAGCACATAGCCAGCCCCCGGGTGTCCGGCCGGCTCCTTCCCTCTTTCCTCCAGGCGGGCCTCAGCGCTGTTCCTGGGCTCATTGATACCCTTGTCCTGTGAGGGAAGGGTCAAGGGGGGCAGCCCCTGGGCGCAGGAGGTTTCCCTAGGTGGGGTGGGAGGAGGGGGCAGGCTTGTGGGAGAATGGCAGTGGGTACAATTGGGAAAGGCCCCTCACTTACATGGAGGCCTCCCCAAGGGCCTGAGAAAGTGGCCAGGCCCCATGGAGCCAGCACCCAGCCCGAGGCCAAGCCTCTGTATGCAGTACCGAGGCAGCCCCGAGGGCCCCTGGCCACTGCAGTCTGGGGGAGCTACTCCAGGACCCTTGCCCTGATGGCCTACCCCCTGCCCCGATCCAGGTAACCAGCCAAGATAAGGCTCCGGCCGTAATCCGCAAGGCCATGGACAAACATAACCTGGATGGGGACGCGCCGGATGACTATGAACTGGTGCAGGTTATTTCGGAGGAACGCAGTAAGTTAGGGTCCTGGAGTGAGGTGGGGGGGCTGCAGGGGTCAGCATCACACCAGAAAATGCACCGCCAGGCTGGGAGCAGACCTTGTACACAAACCACCCTACCCTGGGGCAGCTCTGGACACCAGCTGTCTCCTCTCCTCCCGGGGGCTGCTGGGCCCCCCTCCTGTGCCCTTCCCTGGGTATGAACAGGCTCTGGGGGACCTAGAGCACAGCTGGCTGCATTGAGGGGTGAGGCGAGAAGGCTTTGCTCCTGGGATAAGGCAGCCAGCCAGCCAAGCCACAGGCTGTTCAAAGGGACACTTTCTGGCTAGGATGGGAAACATGTGCCTTGGAAAGAGTCGGGTTGCCATGAACTAAGCACCAAATGTGTTAAAATCCTACACACATGACACTGTTTTAGTCCACCCTGGGCGCTGTAACAGATAGCCCTGACTGGATGGCTTGTCAACAACAGAAATGTATTTCTCACGGTTCCAGAGCTGAAGTCCACAGTCAGGGTGCCAGCCTGGTCAGGTTCTAGGGAAGGCCCTCTTCTGGGTGCAGACGGCCAGCTCCCCTGTGTCCTACATGGTGGAGGGGTGCGGGGGCTCTCTGGGGGCTGTCTTCTAAGGTGCTAATCCCATTTCTGAGGCTTTGCTCTCATGACCTGTGCACCACCCGAAGGCCCTACCTCCTACACCTGAGCCCTTAGCACAGTGTGTAGCGACTCCACGATCCCTGGACGTTTTCTAAATCCTCTCTCACCTTTTTGCACCATTTTGGTGAGGTGGGCAGGGCAGGTGGTCCCTCCACTTACAGACAGGCTGAGAAACTAGAATTGGAGCCACATGGAGGCCCAAGCATGAATTCCTGCCGTTTGGGGTTATAGTAGGCTCCAGTACAGAGCAAATGGGTGCAAACTGGGAGCCGAGAGTAAGGACTGCCGGGTGCCTGGTACCCAGGGTACACAAAGGCCGCCCTAGATCCTGGCGCAGGAGGCCTGGAGCAAGGCCTGCTCTTGGCTGGGCCCCAGAGTCTTTGTCATGAGGGGGGCAGGTGTTCTGGATTCTAGAAAGGCTGTTCCAGCCCAAGATCCCGATGAGTGAGGGCAGCAGGGGAGGGACGCATGGCCCCTTTGCAGCTCCATGCTGAGGTGGGGACTTCTGGAGTCAGGGTCCCCTTAGAAGCAGTGCTCCAGAAGAGTGTCCTCAGGCAGGTGTCATCCAGAGGGGTCCTTGGTACATTCCTGGGGTTGTATTAGGGCGTCTCAGCTCTCTGGCTCAGGCCTGCCACTGTGCGGGGCTCTCAAGTGGTAGGTGTCCTGTGAGGCCCCTGTGAACCCCGCTGACTCTCTCTCTGCCCCTCCCCACCAGAGCTGAGGATCCCCGAGAACGCCAACGTGTTTTACGCCATGAACTCTGCCGCCAACTATGACTTTGTCCTAAAGAAACGGGCCTTCGGCAAAGGGACAAAGGTCAGGCATGGAGCCAGCTCGACCCTCCCTCGAATGAAGCAGAAGGGACTCAGGATCGCCAAGGGCATCTTCTGATTGGTCCTAGGTGCTGGCCAGCCTCGGGACTGCCCTTTGCAGGGTTTGCTGGCCAGCTGCTGAGCACTTAGACCCCAGAGGCCCAGGCCAGGCAGGCACCTCCCGCCCCACCTGCCAGCGCAGGCCGCCTCCAGACTCATCTCACCCCGACCTCTCCTGCTGCCGGGATTGACGCCTGCCCATTGGCAGGCTGACCTGGCCTCCTGTGGACCCCTTGCTGCCTCAGGTGCCTTCTGCTCTCTGGAACCAGAGGACTAGCTGACTTCGCCAAGTGGCACTGCCCATGGGCATGGAGCCCTGCATGCTGCCGGCCTGCCCTCTGTGCACTCCTTCCACCTTCCCAGGTGTGAGTCACTGCCACCTGTGCCCATGGGCACCCCTCATCTACTGGGTCTGACCACTGCAGTTCTCTCCTCATGCCCATGGGCACCGGCCCAGGCCCTTCGTGGGGTCCCGGCCCCTCCTCCTACCACTCTAGCCTTTCTCAGGCTGCACCAAAGATTCCATCGTCAGGGCCAACTGAGAGGGAGTCTCACCCACCCCCACGCCCCCGCCTCCCCTGGTGGAGAGGGACCCTCTCCATGGGTCACACTCTTCACCCGGAGGGTGAGGGTGGTCTCAGCTGAGGCCCGTTGATGTTGAATCTGACAACACAGTGCCATTCACCACTGTATCCTGGGCTTGATGAGACCACTCGAGACGGGGGTCAGTGGGAAAGGGGATTTGGGGGAAGGGGAGGGGGGGTTGAATATTTGTATAAAAGACAAAAGAAAAAATGTTTACCACTTGGGGAGGGGCAATATTTATTTGTTGTAAATAGCAAATGCTAGACTTGAATATTATATTAAAATCCTGTTTCTACTATAGCCTGGGACGGTTTTGCTCTTTCACCTTCTGTGCTAATTTAAATGCAATAAGAGTCTCACATTCCATGTTCAAACAGGACCTCCGGCTATTGGAGTTCACTGTATTTTATGTAGGGAGAGTGAGAAAGGCCAGCCGCCCTTCTCTGACTCACGTCTGCCTTTCAGAGAGCAGGTGTTCACCTGGGTGTCACTAAACTGTACAACAGTTCAGACAGCCCCTCGGAGCCCCTGGCATCAGAGGTCAGAGGCAGTTTTGCAGGGCATAGCAGCAACCTCTGAGACTTCAGTGTCTTTCAAAATAATATTTTTGACAGAAAATGGTGAAGTAAGAAGCTCCGGAGGTCAGTCTCTCACCATGGAAACAACCACTTGATGAAGGACTGCTGGACTTCTACAGTTGAGGAAACCTTTGCCAGGTCACACACTGGCCACCAAAACAACGGGCAGAAGTGTCAGTGACGGTGCACAGCAAGGAACACAGGTTTTGCAAAAGTAGTTTGGAAATGTCACTATAGAAACCAAAGACTACAGCCCTCCACAAGCAACTAGAGCAATCCCTGAGAAGGGGGAGAATCTCATTTCCAGATTATATTCATAGCCAGTTCTCAACAAGTTACAAAAACAGGAAAAAGAGCGCTTTTTCAGGAAGAGAAAGAATTTGACAGGAACTATCCCTGAAGAAGCCCAGATGTTGAAAATACTAGTCAAAAAGACATGTCCACTGTCTGTAATGTTCCATGAGCTAAAGGAAACTTGGACAGGAAACTAAAGGAAATCAAGAGAATGAGGTACAAATAGGGAATTGAATAAAAATACAGGAATTATAAAAGGAACCAAATAGAAATTCTGGAGCTGAAAAATATAATAGCTAAAAATGAAGAACTCATTAGAGGGGTTTGATTGCAGATTAGAGCAGGCAGAAGAAAGAATTAATGAGCTTGATTAAAAAGCAATGAAATTACTCTGCCTGAGGAGCAGAAAGGAAAAAAGAAAAATGAGCAGGCCCCGAGGGACTTTGGCGACATCAAATGCAACAACATACGCACAATGAGAGTCTGAAAGGAGCAGAGAGATTTGAGTTAAGGGCTGAAAGGTCCCCAAATTTGATGAAAGACATAAATGTACACATTCAGAAACTCGAGTGAACTACAGCATAAACTCAGAGCCACAGCAAGACGTGTAAGCAAATTGTCAAAAGAGAGAAAAAAGTCTTGAAGCAGCTCATCACGTACAGCGGCTCCCTAATGACATCGACAGCAGGTTTCTCATCAGAAATGAAGGCGGCCAGAGGGCAGTGGGATGACGTGTTTACATTCAAAGAGCTGAAAGAAAAACAAGTCTATATTCAGCAAACTTACCTTTAAGAATGAAGGGAAATTTAAACACTCCCAGTTAAGGGAGTTCGTTAGTAGACCCGCCTATCAAATGTACTAAAGGGAGCCCCTCAGGCTGAATGAAAGAACAGTAGTAGAGGTAACCAATAGGTGATTATAAATGTATTGTTGCACTTTTGGCTTGTAACTCCACTTTTTTCCTATATGATTTAAAAGGCAAATTGACAAAAAATGAGTATAAGTCTGTGTTAATGGGAACAGCACTAATAAAGATAGAATCTGTGACAACACAGGAAGAGATGGTGGTACGCAGGAGCCGAGAGTGCCCTACTGAAACAGGGTTGGTATCAAACCAGGTGGTTTTGAGGTCAAGGTGGTCATTGTAATCCCAAAGATAACCAATGAGGAATATTTTTTAGCAATATACAGGCAAGGGAAGAAGGGGATGAAAATGGTGCACTGTAGAAAATAAACTAAATCCGTAAAAAGCAGTAAAAGTAGAATTGAGGAACAAAAAGGCATATTAGACAGACACAAATAGCTAAATGAAAGAAGCAAGAACTGGTCGGTAATTACTATAAATATAAGTGGGCTAAACTCCAATCAAAAGACAGAGTTTGACAAGATGGATTTTTTAAAAAAATGCTCTCCCTATATGCTATATTCAAAGAGACTCACCTTGAATACAAGATATAAAAAGGTTGAAAGTAAAAGGATGGGGAAAGATAATCCATGAAAACAGTAAAGGAGAGCTGGGGTGGCTTTATTATTGTCAGACAAAATTGGTTTTAAGTCAAAAAGGTCACAAGACAAGGTCAGTATATATTAATAAAAGGTTCCGTTTAAGAAGAAATAACAATTGTAAACATACCTGCTCACAAAATATATGAAGCAAAAATTGACATAATTGAAGGGAGTTGGAGACAAATACCTCACTTCTGGTAATGGCTAGAAGAAAAACACATGGAAGGTCGCTAAGGAGAGAGGGCTTGAACCACCTCCAACCTGAGAGGCCCCGCAAGAGCAGGCAGCACACTGCAAGCAGAAGACACCTCACAAGGGTCATGGGACATTCTCCAAGGCATACCATTTACTAGGCCACACAGCTACATAAACTTAAAAAGATTGAAAACACATAAAGTATCTTTTTCAGTCACAGGGGAATAAATTCAGAAGCCAACTGCAGAAGGAAAGCTGGAATACTCATGTGGAAGTCAAACCAGGTCAAGGAGAAATCACAAGAGAGAGAAAATGCCTTGAGATGAATACAAACAAAAAAAACCCCACACCAAGTCTTAATGGGATGCAGCAAAAAGCGGTGCTAAGAGAACACTTTATAGCGGTAGACACGTTAAAAAAGAAACATTTCAAGTCAAACACCTAACTATACACCTTAAGAAGCTAGAAAAAAATGCAAACTAAACCTGAAGCCAGCAGAAGGAAAGAAATACTAGAGACGATAGTGGAGACGAACGGAATAGAGAAAAACCATGAGAAAAAAAAATCAACAAAACCAAAAATTGGTTCTTTGAAAAGATCAACAAACTAAGACTAATTAGGAAGAAAAGCAGGAAAGACTCAAAATCGGAAATGAAAATGGAAACATGACTACCGACTTCACAGGAATCAAGGGGCTTGTCACAGTACTGTGCACAACCTTATGCCAACACATACACCGGAATATGATTCTGCCACCAGAAGGAATGGAATTCTGGTACATGCAACAACGTGCATAGATCCTGAAAACTAATGACTCCACTTAGAAGAAATATCTACATTAGACAAGTGGATTAGGACAGAAAGTAGAATAGATCATGAAGGTGAGCGTGGAGAAGGGAAGTTAATGCTTAATGGGTACAAAGTTTCTGTTTGGGGTAACACACAAAAATTTGGAACTAGATAGCGATGGTTGCAGAACAGTGTGAATGGAAGTAATGTCCCTGAATGGTACTCGTAAAAATAGCTATATGGTCATATTTTATATTTACCCTGATTTTTAAAAAATAACATTTGCAAACACCATATTCTGACCCAGGACGGCAGCTACCTTTCTACAGCTTTTTGAAGAGGGAACTTTATGCTTGTCTTGCGGTTTCTGTTGCCCATCAATTACTAAGTTGTAGATTTCAAGGTCAGACTCTGGCCTACTGTGCTGAGGGAAATTGTAAGCAGATCAAAATTTGCAGAAGTAGAAAGGAAAAGGCCCAGGGGGAGATTATTAGGGGGAGATTACTAGCCTCTGGCCAGGCAGGACTGTGCATCCTCAGTTCTCTCGAGGGGCCCAGGGTTGGCCCTTTACCTGGATCAGAATCCTGCCGGGATCCTGGTCTCTGTCTGTTCCTGCTTGTTTCGTATCCAGAGGAAGGATGGGTGAGGCAGCTTTTAAGGCTAGGACTCCACAAGCATTTCTGCTCCCTGTGGCTAGTGTTTGCAGCATTGCTGTAGCTCTGTACATGCTAGCAGGCTCCCCTCTCTCTGCCAGGCCGTCCTGCCAGTGAATTCAGCCCCAGGCAAGTTCACTGTTGATTCGGTGAGACCAAATAATGACAATGGAACAATGGAATGTTCTTGGGGTGAAAGAGTTTATGCCCAACTTCATTTTCAGGGTGGCCCGTAAGCACTAGAGTCCCGTCCACCTCGGGGCAAGAATTCCTGCAGCAAGCCGGTCTCTGCCTCCCTCTTCACCCCGCAACCGTCTCAGTCTCTGTCCTCGGAGCCGCCACCACCCCAGCCTCTGCTCCCCCGCGGCCGTGCAGCCAGAGCGCTGGGCGGAGCTCTTTATATAGGGCAATTATAAGGTATTGCCCACAGGTATGCAGTGGGTGAGCCGACCAGGGCCAGGTGAGGATCCCCACTACAGGAACTCCCATCTTCTCTACACAGGCATGCGTGGCCACTCATCTGGGCCGGGCTCTGATGCATCTGGGTGAGGGCTGATTTGCCAGGATAAGAATGCTAATTCTGGTCAGTGAGAGACCCCCACCCTCTCCCTCTGGCCAAGATGAATCCCAGCCTGTGTGGTTCTGAGGCTCATCGGCTCGAACAGTCACCACTTTACAGACTCGGTCGTTGGTACCGACTTGCCGTCCTGGGTAGCTGAGCTACAGCCCTTCGAGCTTCAAGGCCCTGGGACGCTGCGTTCTTCCTCCAAGCCTGTGCTTTGATTATGTCAGGCCGTGGTGGTGGTCTAAACCTTTCCTGTGGGTTTAAACAGCCTTACCAACGGATACTGAAGGGCGCCGAACAGATGCTGCCCTGAGCTCCCCTAAGCACCCCTGGGCTTCACCACGATGGGAGCTAAATGCTTGACACCTGGCCCGGCCAGGCGCCCCCAGGACCCTGATGGCCTCCAGCTGTGGTTCGGTGAGTGTTTCAGCTTTACCCCCTGGGTACGGCCTGTAAAGGCAAGAGCCAGATGCATTGTGGGGCGACTCTGAGTCCTCATATTTTTGGGCTCCCATTGGCCAAGAGCAGGGACAGTCACCAGTAGAGGCCTGCACAGAAGGGGTCTGTTCCCCTCAGTCTTTGGCAGGCAATCCCCTCGTCACACCTGGGAGTGCTTGACCCAGCTGTGAAGCCCGGGCAGCCACAGCATCGCAGGCCAGCCCGGTGCCCCTGCTCCCCGGTGGATGGGTCTGCCCCGGCTCAGCTGCGCTGTGCGGAGCCGCAGCACTTGACTTTCCAGGCCTGTCTTCCTCTGGCAGGAAAGGGACAGAGAGTGGCTGGCTTCTCCCTGGTGCTGCTGCTTCCCCCCCACATGCAGCAGGACTGCTGCTCAGGACTCCAGAATCTTCTCTCCTCTAAGCCCTTACCACCACCACGTGTGACTGAAGAAGGGCCAAGGGTAGGCAAGAAGCCCCCCAACTTTGTTCTAACCTCTGGCTTTGGAGTCTCTGAATTTGAATCCTTGCTCTGATGACCTGGGGCACATGAACCCCTTTCAAGGCCTGTTTCCCTGTAAATGTCTACAATCGTCTAAAATGGGGGTGTTCACAGTGCCCACCTTATGCAGCAGCAGTGAGGCCAGGCTGGTTAAGCTCTTGGCACTGTGCCCAGGCCCAGACTCCCAGAAGCGGGAATGGCCCTGCCTCTGACCTCTGCCTCCCGCCCCCAACTCTGCCAGAGCCATCAGGTGCTGCCCAGGGGCCCCTGTCTGGCAGGGCACCCAATGCCCAGTCCCCTTGGCCCTTTGTCCCTGACCTTCCACTGTAATGCTTTATTCTCTCTTGGACTTGGAGCAGCTGGAAGCAGAACCTGTTTCTCTTCCCAGGCCGGTTCCCTGGTCACAACACAGATGTCACTCCTGCACTCAAGAGAACTTGGGTGTGGCTGGGCTCCACTGGTCCACGTGCAGAGCCCAGCCCTGCCTCGGGTGGAGCCCAGCCCTCCCAGCCGGCAGCCTGGTGCAGGGAGCTGCACCTGAGCCCCGCCCAGGTGCCCTCCACTTCGTGAACCCTGTTTCCTCCTCTCTAAAGTGAGGATGGTTCTGTCCGCCTCCTGGAGCTTGAGCACTGAAGGGGCCCTGTGGAGACATGCTGAGCCCCGTGCCTGGGGCTGTGATGGAGCTGAGGGCCCTCCTTCCTCAGCTGGGAGCAAAGAAAGACACTAGACAGAGAGAGATTAGGCTTTATTCCGGAGGGCGAGTGGTGCTCAGCCTGTGGCCTCTTGGGGCCATGGACATTAGAAGCCAATTACTGCGGGCATCTGAGCCCCCTCAGGGTTCTCTGTGGGGGGTGCCGGGAGAGATTCAGGGTCCTGGGCCTGGGGCGAGGGGGCAGCTGCAGAGTCCTCGGTGGGGGGCACGGGGGCGGCCTCGGGGTCCTGGGCGGGGGG